CCATATTTTATCCTCCGATCACCAACGTGTACATGTTATGTTTCCTCCAGGTTTCAGCGGTCGAAATCCGGGAAGATTTACCTCAACGAAGACATTCGCTTACTCTTCTCCCGCAAATCCATCGAGGTGGACACTGGCATCCCCTACGAACTCAAATCCTTCACGGAAGCCCCCAAAAATCCCAAATACTCCCCGCGGATTTGAGGAACGGAGCAGTAGGGGGAGGACACATAGGGACTGGCGGTCCCGCCCTTCCCCGCTTCTCGTCCTATAGACTTTGTCCCCCTAGACCCCCCCCTCCTCCTGCAGATTCACACACCTTATTTATTACCCGCACCCTCCCCACTAGTCCCAGTCTCTGGAGCAGCCGGCACACTCTCCTCACCCGGGAAGGGGGCGGGGCGTAAAATGGCGGACGCTCTGTTATATCAGCAACTCCATCAGCTGGCCCGCTCCAGTCTTTTTAGCCGGAACCCAGAAAAGGGTAAAAATATCTTTATTTTTTTTTCTCTTGCAGCCAGAATCATTTGTCCGTAATAATTTACCGCCAGGTACCTGAACTATGGCGGGGCCGCATATTCCGCACGCCCAGCGTAGATCGATTTAACGTGTTTAAGAAATTTATCCGACTTCTAGCGTTTTTTTGTGTGCCGAGAATGTTGATGAGGAAGAATCGTTGTTTTTGGCCAAGCGTGGCGGGCAAACGGCGTCCATCCAAAGCAGCCAATTAGAACACTGACCTAAGCTGAAATCTCATTGGCTACCAGGGGGGTTTACCATGCTTTGCTCATCTTCAATTGTATAAGGCCAATTGTACCTCATGTCACAGGGCAAAGGTAACCGTGGTGAGTGCACTCGTAGCAGCCAATCGGAGACTACCTTTCATTGTCCTGACTGGTTGTTATTGCACACGGCTGCCGAATGAAGCGATGTAGTGTGTAGACAGCCGAGGGGAAATGACCGAGGCCGGCGTGTTCAGAGGGCCCAACTGACATTCTAGGGTAAGAGATTTCCCTTTTATAGATGATGTAGACCATTGGGGGTCAACTTGATATAGGGGCCTCAAATGTGGCCCCTGACATCACCAGGGGGCCCGCACATAATTTTTAGTGAATGTGATACTACAGAAAGCTATTAGACCGCAGACAGGAGATGGTCGGACACTGCGGACCTGCCGCGCAGGAGATGGTCTGACACTGCGGACCTGCCGCAGGAGATGGTGGGACACTGCGTACCTGCCGCAGGAGATGGTCGGACACTGCGGACCTGCCGCAGGAGATGGTCGGAGACTGATCATCTCTTATACCATGTCTGCAGTCTATGACCATCTTCTGTATCATGTCTGCATACTACTGGAGTTGGTCAGAGACTGTGCACATTATACAGAAGATAGACGGAGACTGCCCACATGCAGTGGTCAAGAGATGGTCAGAGACTGCAGGCATGCTAGAGGAGATGGTCGGAGACTGCAGGCATGCTAGAGGTGATGGTCGGAGACTGCAGACATGCTAGAGGTGATGGTCAGAGACTGCAGACATGCTAGAGGAGATGGTCGGAGACTGCACATTAAGTATTGTTCTTGCTCCTTGCAATGAGTCTGTGTTACTCAAAGCAGCTCCGTGCACCTGGTATGAGTGAGCCCTAAAGTACTTTAAAAAAAAAAAAAAATCTTCAGGTCAGGGGACCCCCCCCCCCCCTTTTTTTTTTTTTTTTTTTTCCCCGCTCTTCTGGGACACTGCGGAC